AATTGCAAAGACTCAATCTCAGTCCATGTATTGGGAGGGTAGTGGGTGGACCATGACATGAGAAAGCGAAGGTGGGTTGGCAAAATAGTATGTTATTATATCCGGCGCTCCCAAGCCTCCCCTAGAACGTGGGGAAAGCAGAACCGAACGAGCAATCCTGTGCCGCCTGTTGTGCCAAATAAAGTGTAAGAAAGATTTCTGAAGGGAGTGGAGCTTGGACATAGGAACGGGTACGGGCAGAGTTGCAAACAGATATAAAAGTTTGGGTAGCACGGTCATTTTTAGGACATTAATACGACCGAGGAAGGAAATGGGCAAGGCATCCCAGTGTTTCAGAGAGCGAGAAATTGCTACAAACAGTGGGGGAAAATTGGCCTCATATATGGATTGGTAAGAAGAGGTGAGGTTGGTACCTAAATACTTTAAAGAGTGGGTGCACCATCGGTAGGAAAAGGCTGCCTGAAGGGAGGAAAGAACGTCAGGAGAAACATGTATTGGAAGTGCCTCAGTTTTGGACGTGTTGACCTTATAGCCTGATAAAGCCCCAAATTGTTTCAAAGTTTTGTGCAAAATCGGTAAAGAGGTGTGGGGGACTCGTAAGTGTAAGGAGAATGTCATCTGCAAATAACGATAATTTGTACTCACGAGAATGGGATTGTATTCCCCGGATATCCGGATCCGACCTGATGGCGATAGCCAATGGCTCCAGGCAGAGAATGAACAGCAGGGGAGAGAGTGGACAGCCCTGACGAGTGCCATTTGACATCTGAAAAGGGTGGTGAGAGAAAGGAGGCTAATCTGACCTGTGAAAAAGGGGATGAATAAAGGGCCTTCAAAGCTGCTACAAATGAACCCCTAAAACCAAATCTCTCCAAAACCATGAACATATAGGGCCAGCTTAAACGGTCAAAGGCTTTTTGAGCATCCAGACTCAATAACACAGCAGGGGTAGAGGAACGATTGACCAAATCAACCAGATCAATAGATCTCCTGGTGTTATCTGCAGCCTGTCTGGCAGGTACAAAGCCCACCTGATCCCTGTGTATGAGCTTGGAGATAATACCGGAGAGTCGATTGGCCAAGATTTTAGTAAAAAATCTTATAATCAGAATTAAGTAGGGCAATAGGGCGATAGTTATCTACGATAGAGTGATCCTTATCAGGCTTAGGGATAACCGAGATATATGCACGGGGAGAAGTCAGTCTGGGGTATGATTCCCTTAAAAAGATCTCGGTAAAGGGAGAGAAGATGCGGGGCCAAAATACCAATAAAAGATTTATAGTAGGAGTAAGGCAATCCGTCCGGTCCCGGGGCTTTACGAGAAGGGAGGTGTTGTTTGATTGTGTCCAATAATTCCTCTAGTGTAATGTCTGCATTAAGGGCGTCCATGTCTGAGGATGTTACTCTCGGAAGTGACAAGGGGTCAAAAAAATTGTCAAATGATGACTGTGTGAGAGACGGGTGAAGGTCGGGGGGTCAGACAATTATATAATTTCCCATAAAATGAGCCAAAAAGTGTTGCCATGGCCCGAGGGTCATAAGTAGGGCTTTCATCTGGCTGTATTAGAAGATCGGGCATCGTTAGAAGGGGACTGAGTTTTGAGACGGTTGACTAACATACGGTGTGGCTTGTTAGAAAATTTTTCGTAAAATTTCTGTTTAACCCAAAGGAGAGACTGTGCAGTCTTACTGGAGTCAAAAGCTTTAATTTGGGCACGTAGAGATGCCACCCTCTGAAGCCCCGAAATAGATGGCCTATTCAGTAACCGACGTTCCGCCACCAAGAGCTGTTGTATGAGAGAGGCCCTAGCACTCGCCGAGGGCTTTTTTAAACGAGAACCCATGGAAAAAAAAACAAAGTCCACGAAAAACCGCCTTGTGGGCCTCCCACAGAGATGAAGAAGAAGCTACGGAACCGACATTAAGAGTGAAATATGAATCGAGTCCCCGTGACAATTCATCCCTAAGATGATCTGTGGAAAGAAATGTCTCATTACGGCGCCAGTGACACGGTTTGGACACAGCAGGGGGGAAAAAAAAGATTTAAGGTCAAAGAGGCATGGTCAGACCAAGTGATGGGATTGATTTCAGAGGAAACCAGAAGTGGGAGCAAAGAGGCAGAGATGAAAAAATGATCTAGGCGCGAATAGCTACGGTGAGGGTTGGAGTAAAATGTAAATTGTTTATGAAGGGTGTTTAATCCCGCCAAGCGTCAAAGAGACGATGCTCCCTAATCAATTTACGAAACGATTTTGAAGAGGAGCATTGCCGCTTCGAGGGGGTGGTGGATTCAAAAAGCACCTTCCTATCTTTATGAGGGGAAACAATCAGATTGAAATCACCCCCTACAATCACCTGTGAGGTAGTAATGGAATCCAGATTAGCGGGCGTTTGGGACAGGAATTGCAGTTTACCTGTATTGGGAGCATATAAATTCAACAGAACAAGGGGAGTCTCGCCGAGCATACACTCTAAAATAATATAACGACCCTGACGGTCAACTTTGGAGGAAACAACCCGAAGGGAGCAGTGTGACCCAATAAGGATTGCCACCCCGGCCTTCCCAGAGGGATCAAAGGCCGAGTACGCTTGGGAAAAAAATCTCGAGGCAAAACGGAAAGAGCCAGTCGATTTGAAATGGGTCTCTTGGACAAAAATAATGTCTGCTCCTGAGGATCGGAATTCCTTCAAAGCCATCCACCGTTTTTGAATGGAGTTGAGGCCCTTGACGTTATATGACAGAAACCGCAAAGCCATTATAAAATAACGACAACGGTTTTTTACATGTAATAGCATGAAAAATGAATGGAATATACCATCGATGTAATACAGTAAAAAACAAAAAACATCAAACAGTTGAACACAATACTTTGCAAGGCAATAGTGTAAAGAACAAAAAACAGAGAAATAAGTATCCGCAAGGATATAAACTCGGGAGCAACAATGTGACCCAAGTCGTCTAGGCCTATGGCTAGACAAAATCGGGAGCAGCACGACAACCAGAACATCAGAGAGGACGTCAAACCCGGCCAGCAAAGAAAAAGTAATCAAAAATGAAAAAAAGCACCCAACACAATTTGGCCGGACAGATAAGGGAAACCCGTGGGAAAATTATGTAGAGAAGAGAAAAAAAAAAAAAAAAGTGCAAGAGAGAACCAAAAACCCAGGAGGAAAAGGTTCATCACCAGATCCAGAAGGTAGCCCCAGAGATTCGTCAAGCAGGTGGGTCAGTTGACCGAAGATGGCGCGGCGTTGTGGGGTACGTGAAGGTCTCTTCCGACCTCTGCGAACCGGGGTCCAAATCCCGCTGGGGGTGGCGGACGGACAAGACTGAGTTGGTGGCAGAGAGGACCCATCCTCTGACAGAGGGCGGAAGTCCCAGGCGTTTTAGGAAGGAGTCCGCCTCATGAAGATCACGGAGCACAACTTGGGTATTGTCCCTATTTACGACCAACCGAAAGGGAAACCCCCAACGGTAAGGGACATGGTGTTGTTGAAGGTGCATGGTAATCGGCTTCAGGTCTCGTCGCTTAGCCAGCGTAATCGGGACAGGTCGCAGAAGAGTTGGAGTCTGTCACCCTCAAAATCCAGCGATGATTTATGACGAACAGCAGAAAGTAGAGCTTCTTTGCTTTGAAAAAAATGAAAGCGAACAATAACGTCGCGTGGTCTGGTGCCTTCAGCAGGTTTTGGGCCCAAGGAGCGGTGAGCCCTATCCATACGCCAATCTGCTACTGGAACTAAGGGGGCAGTGGCAGTAAAGAAGGACAGAAGATGACGGTGCAGCTGTGCATCTGCAATAGACTCGGACATACCGCGAATACGGATATTTTCTGGCGCCGTTCCCTGTTTTCCAGGTCCTCTTGCTGGAGCTGCATTTGGGACATGGAGTGCTTCAGGTAAGCGTTATCTTCTTCCAGTACGTAGACGTATTGTACCCAAATTATCAAACTCGTTTTTCCAATCTGTCCGTGCGGTCTCCAATCTGGGCAATTTCCCCTCTAAGCTCCAAGGCCAGCTTTCCCACCTCCGTGGATATGGACGCAGTAATGTTGCGCAAAAAATTTTGTAACTTATCATCCAACGCCGACAATGTGAGGGAAGCTGATGAGGTGGCCTGCTGAGGTGCCTGGATGGAGGGAGGATGCTTCCCTGATGCAGACTGCTCCGCAACCCCCCCAGTAGCATGCTGGGGCTCATAGTCCTCCAGCAGTGATTGTGTCAGGGCAGAGGCTGGAACATCCGTGGGTGCAGTACCCTCTGCGACCACGGGGGGCCGCGATCCCTTCCTGGGCTCCCAGTCATACATTGTTTGTTGTTCAGGAGCAGCTTGGCAAGAGGAATACGACATTTGAAGCCCATGTCCAGGATCCGTCTGTGTGTGGTGGCTCTTGATGCACTGACTGCAGCCTCAGACCACTCCTTGTGAAACTCCCCAACACTTTTGAATGGCCTTTTCCTGACAATCCTCCACAGGCTGCAGTCATCCCTGCCGCTTGTGCACCTTTTTCTTCCACACTTTTCCCTTCCACATAACTTTCTATTAATGTGCTTTGATACAGCACTTTGGGAACATCCAACTTCTTTTGCAATTACCTTTTGAGGCTTTCCCTCCTTATGGAGGGTGTCAATGATGGTTTTCTGCACAACTGTCAGGTCAGCAGTCTTTCCCATGATTGTGATTCCTACTGAACCAGACTGAAAGACCATTTAAAGGCTCAGGAACCTTTTGCAGGTGTTATGGCTTAATTAGCTGATTAGAGTGGGACACTTTGAGCCTAGAATATTGCACCGTTTCACAATATTCTAATTTTCTGAGATTGTGGATTTGGGGTTTTCATGAGCTGTAAGCCATAATCATAACAATTATGACAAATCATGGCTTGAACCAGGGGCAGACTGACAACTCATGGGGCCCCCGGGCAACAGGGGATCATGGGGCCCCTGTGTCCTTGCCCAAACTCAAAAAAGCCTATGAAAAAGGTACCAGGGGCATCTCATGGGGCCCCCTACTGACCCCGGGCCCTCGGGCAGTGCCCGAGTTTCCAAATGGTCAGTCAGCCCTGGCTTGAACTATCTTGCTTTGCATGTAATGAGTCTATCTCATACATTAGTTTCACCTTTTAAGTTGCATTATTGAAATAAATGAACTTTTGCATGATATTCTAAGTTTTCACGTTTCACCTGTATAGTGCAAAGGGAAAAAGAGGGGAGTTTCTGACCAGTTCTTTACTGAGTGCTGATTACTGAATGCACTGGGTCTTGCTCACCTGCCTAGATTAGATTTCATATTAATATTTACAAAGAATAAAATAGAGGTCATACTAAAAACAGGAATGGTGTAAGCACAAAGTCCATTTGGCTAAAAAGCAGAACTTAACCCATTGTTTCCCAAAACAGTTACAATCAAGGCATCCCATGAATGTAATGCCTGTCACAGTTGCTTGTGCCATCAACTGAACTGTCAAAATGGCTGGTGTCACAGCTTATCACATGCACGGAACCATGGCAGCTAAAGATCAAACAGAGGCCAAGGTGGTAGCTACCTTGGCTATAAAAGATAGGAGGGTTTCGTTCTGCTTCAATTACATAGAAAATTAAATAGAAATATTGGAAGTCCATACCACCAAGCTTAAGATATGTTTGTCCAAAAAAGAGTATATGTGCTCTAGATATCATAATGATATAAATAACAACAAATTAATCAATGTTCTCATAGTTGAGATGCAAACATTGCTCTAACCCATAAAGGTGTATAATCAACAACCATAACTGATGTTGTTAAAAAAAAGGTGTGAGCTTTGGTTTTGTCCAAACTTGGGTTCAGGCTAAATTTGGGAGGAAGCTGTCACTGCCACTGAAATTCTGCCAGGGCATTTTCAACCCCACAGCCCAATATAAAAATGAGGCAGGGATGCTCATCGCCATACTAGGTCAATGATATCATGAACATCCCCACTCCTTTGTTATGTCCCACAGGGAGGGCCCTGGCCTCAGTTAAGTTGGTGACAGTGGATGGGAGTGACAGATTCTTCCAGGTTTGGCCCAAACAAAGGTTTGAACCAAACCTAAATTCATCCCTAAAAAAGAAATAAGAATATTTTAATTTACAGTAGAGATTGTACCTGTAGCCAGAACAATAATAGCCTCTATATATTTATGTGATAAAACAATATAGATCATGCAGACTTAATAGCATTGCTTAAACAGTGACCTTGCCCTGTGACTTACTGCTTTTTACACTGCCTTGGTTTTACAATTAAAAAGATGGCAAACAAGGCTTCTAGCTGCCATATTGTAATTTATTAAAAGGGAGAAGAAATATGCAGTAGTTCCCTCCAGATAAGTGTGTTGATGTTCTCCTGATCTCTCCAGCTGGCAGCATTTCAAACAGATGCAGTTTCACTCCTATAACGCATCTGTTTGAATTCTTGCCATTATGGAGCAGACAGTGAAAAAAAAATATCAATAACATGGAATTTAATGGGAAAAAGAAAACTGAATAGGAAAACTGAAATGAATATACACTTTCTGATTACTTGTTGAATGTTGTATAAATATGCTTTTCGTAATCAGTAACACTTAAAATAACTAATCTTTGTTGGATTTATGCGAGAATCCAAATATTCCATCTAAAACCAGAACTGCCTAGCCTTATTACTGAAAAATAAATGTTATTCCCTTATTTAGACTGATTCTTGGTTTTGGGAAACAAATGTCAAAGATCCCCCAAGGTCTGGCAATTGCTTCTGTGTCAACTGACAAGCTGAGACTCTACTGAGAACACACAGGTATTATAACTTGCATGACAACAGGCAGTTTGTAGGCATTGTAGGCCTACCCACCAAAAGAAAAAAACCCAGTTTACCTGACACAATCCACTCCCAATGACTGTTCAATTTGAATGATAGCTCCAGCTCCCTACCGCAGAATGTAAACAAAGGGGCAAGTTCACCCAGACATTACCAAATATGGACATTACCGTTTTTGGTCAATGACATCATGGAAATCCACATGACATCAAATATAGGCAAATGCATATTTGGTGAATGCTGTCACACAGGATACCCCGCCCTTATTTACATTCTGTTGCTTACTGGGGAAATATCAGTCTTTGTCAGGAGTGGACATGATAGTGAGACAGTATTTTTTTTATCACTGGTCAACACGAATGGTGATAAATTTACATTGTGGTGCATTTTTTGGTCGGTGGGGTATTTATTTACTTTACAATTTGTGAATGAGTAATCAGGGGTACTATGTACACCTTACTCATTCACATTGGGGGGAAAGTATCTTGGTATCTGGGGGCCCCCTAAAGAGGCTTCAAGATTCTGATAAGTGCCCCTACATACCCACACAACCACCGGGCCAGAGATGTGGGGAAGAGGCCCTTGTTCCTCCTGGGCAAAGTACTCCCCGTGTTGAGGGCATGTGACCTGGGATGGTTCGGGGGCAAATGCTTGCCCCCTCCATTTCATTGCCAGCAAGACTTTAGGCTCAGTTTGGGATCTAGTATGGTTTTTTTGGTTTTCTTGTTTTTTGTGTGAGGTTCCTGCCTAAAATCCATACTAGACCTGGTAAGTCTGGAATGAATTGTGGGTGAACTCCGTGCTATGTTTCACACTATCCCTGCAGCTTTGTTTACATTACCATTACATGGAGGTTGTTGACACTGATGCACAGGCAAGTATGGGTAAAAGTAACTATCAAAGAAAATAAAAGGTACACTGTTTAAGGAGAGGTCCTTTTAAGGACAACTGAAAATAAAAACTCCTATCTGAGCCCCTATCACCTCTCAGTATTCATGCAACTCATGGACTCACCACTCCAAGGTTCTTAACTAGTCTTTGTCCAGTTGTCACTGATCACAAACCTGTTGCTATTACAAGCTGATTTACAATGTTATGGTTTCATATGAAAACACCAATATTATGGCATCACAGTGCCCTTGCACAGATTTACTATGGTATGTAGAAGTACAAAGCTGCTGACTGGCATATAGTTCAAACAAGTACAACAGGTGAGTCTCGTCTTCATAAAAACATCAGAGTTAATGAGAAAAAGAAGTTAAGTGTGTAAAAAGCAGAAAATTGCTTCACTAACATTTATCAGCTTATGTTCCAGTTTATACCAGCTAATCAGAATTTAATGTCCAAGATATTTTCTAAGGGAGGAAACTCCTTAAAATGTTAGGATGAATCACAACCATGTTTTTTGACCCAAACTGACTTTGCCCATTTTAATATGAAGTTAGTTTAATATGATGTATCTCATCTGTCAAAAGTGATGAATTTCAGTATGTATAAGTATTTGAAATGCTGTTAGCTGAAAAGAACATGTGAAACAAATAATAATTCTCCAGAATGAAATATGATGTGAAGATAGCGTCTCCACCCTAATTGCATATATATAAAAATGTTGTTTTGCTGTCAGCCTATTCTGTACCCTATAAAATGTAATTTAGCAGTTATGATTTTGTCTGCACAGTCCAGATAATGTGTGTCCCTTATTAGACAAGTATAGTTTACTTAATCTAAAACATTAGGTTCAATGTATTCTATAACAGTAAATTTAAAACTATTACGTAATTAAGAGAAAACCACAAAAGCTGAAAAAATGAGCACAGGCAATGTGCAAAAGTTACATTTAGAGATTTTTAATCCTAAATTAGTAATTAGGCATGAGTCAAGCACACCTCAAGTTCACCCCTACTAGTAACACATACATTCTGAGATATATTACAACCAGACTGATTATATATGCATGTACAGTATGTAACAATTGCCATAACCTAGATCTTCACAAATGAATTCAGGCCTTAAGTATATCTAAAGCCAAAATGTCTCATTTTAGTTTTGGATAAAGTATAGAGAGTAACAAAACCTATCAGGGTAATGTTACTAATGAGCAGTAGGAGCCAGAACACCAGAATCACATCAAATACTGAATTCTCAAATCAAAAGGAAAAAACAGTAAGTCAGAGGCACACATGTCCCCTTTGTCAAGGTGACTGTCTGTCACCGTAAACATGGAGACTTGGAAGTCCTTGGAACATTTTTTCTCTTTAGCGTGGATCTTCAGTATACTTGTTGGATGTGATCCTGGTATGGTGGCTCTTACTACTCATTGGACTCATACAGCTGTGCTGTTTGTAACCACATATATGCTCTTTTTATGAGAGTCTGGATGGTATAGTCTGGTTCTTCAGTGCAAAGGTTTTTTTGGTTGTCTGTGTCCACACTGGGGAGTTTGACCTGGTGGCCATTGTCACTGGTTAGGAAAATTAGAATAAATCCACCAGTTGCCACTAAAACAAGACTGAAGGAAATTTTTCAAACACGGTTCCTTTTTTCTGTTGATAGCTCGCATTATCTTTTTTTTCAACAGGTCAAAGAGTGATGTGAAATTTCCTCAATGAGGCATTTTACCATCACCTACTCTATTCAAAATGAAAAAAATAGTTTTAAATGTGCTTTTAAAAAAAACCTTGCGGTTAAAGAGACATACAGTATAGGCTGCCATTTTTGATCTCCAATTGAAAATGCTAGATGTAATCAAAGCTTTCTGAGTCACTGATTTTTGTTTTTAGCTCAGTTATGCAGAAAGAATTGAACCCATAGGATTAGCATGACAGTTAGGCAAGTAGCATTGTTAAGAATTAGAGGTAAGAAATGGCCACTGTATATTTCACCCAAGTCAGGCTTCCTTTAAACTTAGTTTGCTTTGCTAACAGCATCACATGAGACAGATTTAATGTTTACCCACATGTTGTTGCATACTGACCAAAAATATGAACTAAAAAACAAGAACATTTTGAACTCCCCCACACAGAGCCTGGCACTACCTCCCTGAGAAAAGAGGATAAAAATGTTAAAAAGCTCAATGAACATGAAATGCCGAGACAAAGAGTCCAAAAGTCCTTGAAATTGTAAGAATTATGATGTTAAGGAATGAATGGGTGTGCTCTGGAGTGATTTGGTTGGAATCCAAGACACTCTGACTTGTGTAAAAAAAAAAAAAAAACAGTATTTCATATTATAGAACGTAGCTAAGCTTTTATTGACCACCATCATCTATTGGAATTAC